ACCCGTTGAGAGAAAGGTTAACTCGGCGAGTCGAGTGAGGCCTTAGGAGGATTCAGAGGACATGCATGGACTCGCCGAGTCACCCGAGTGCACTCGACGAGTCTGGTCAAAGTTGGACCGTTGACTGGGGTTGACTTTTAGGGTTTGGTCAACATTTGGACATTGGACCTTGGAGGGGTAAAATGGTCTTTTCCCCTTCTGAGAGAATATAGGGAGGGACTAGTCTAGCCTTTGAGAGCCGTATTAATTAGAGATAATTACTTTATGTGATTAGGCGAAGGCTAGATCAGATATTCGAGTTCGAGACTTTCCGAGATTACCCGAGGTGAGTCTTCTCACTATACATTACCTGGAGTGGTAACTATGTGCAGACCGGAGGGTCTTATGTGTTATGTGTATGTTGAGTTTATGTGCATTGTGATATATGTATGTTATGTGTTATATAGACCGGACCGGAGGGTCCTACGATTTAGACCGGACCAGAGGGTCCAACGATTTAGACCGGACCGGAGAGTCCAACGAGCTAGACCGGACTGGAGGGCCCAACGAGCTACAGGACTGAAGGGTCCTGCTGAGACACATTGACCAGAGGGTCATACCGAGTTATAGCCTCGAGTGGCTTATGTGTTGTATGTGGTATTTTGGGGAACTCACTAAGCATTTATGCTTACCGTGTTATGTGATATGTGTTTCAGGTACCAGCGAGGATCGCGGGAAGGCGCCGGCATGATTTGTACACACTAGCAGAGGATTATGTTTTAAGATTCTGGGATATGTTTTATTATGATGGCATTTGATACATGAGATTTTGAGAATATTATATGCGTTTTATTATGTTGAAAAATGAAAAAATGTTTTAAAATTTACGTCGTTACAAAAGATCCTTGCATATTAATGATAATTATATCTGTTAATAATCAAGTTTATTGAGTTGTATGAATATCTTCTTAATTGTTTGAATCGTATATTTTTGTGAAAACAAGATTGTATGTCTAGTATTAGTGAACATGAACCTAGGGTTAACTAGAAAATAAGTAAGTTAATGTGTGAGCATGTGTGATGAACAACCACATATGAGTTGATTGAATTGACAAATTTAGTTAACTAATATTACAAGTCTTACTTGATTCGAAATAAACACTAGGAAACTTGTTAGTTTAATCAATTGGCCACCGTTTGAGTTAGCTTGTTTGCTAAAGGATTAGTAATAGTGAACATGAACGTAATCACGTTAGAAATCGATAACCATTAATATATTGATCCATTACCCTTGCCACGAAATCAACCATAGGAATAAATGAATCGAATCTGAACAGAAGTCTCTTTTATCATTGAATCTAGTTGTCTTTTTGTTCTCTTTAGTTGATTAATTGTCTTTTGTTTGAGTGTTATTTGAATGCTTAAGTTTCTAGTCTTGCAAAACTAGAGAAAACCCCCTTTTATTACTTGTTTTTATTTAGGTAATTCTAGTATTTAATTTAATTGTTATCGTTCCCCGTGTTGGATACCCTACTTGCTTTAACTATATTGCTAATCGATAGGTACACTGCCTTTCGTGTGTTTATTTTTGTGTCTAAGTTAGTAGGATTAAAACTAGTACTATTTCACACACATCAAGGCTTTTTTTACATATTTCTTGTTTGGTTGTGGTTCTAGAGTAGGATCACCTGTCCGGGTGTGTATCTCACTTTTGTTTATATACAGTCATGCATTTCTTGGAGTATTGCTATTTAATATGTTGTTCTGCTGTAGGGAACTGCTAGATCTGTATTCTGGTACCGAGTATGTTGCTATGCTGTAGGGATTTGTTAGATCTGTATTCTGGTATCGAGTATGTTGCATTGTTGTAGTGATATGTTAGATCGGTATCCTGTTATATAGGATGGTGCTATGTTGTGGTGCACTGTTGGATCTGCATGTTATCTGTGTTTACTGGTTATCATCTAGTGGAGTGCCCTAGGGACTGTATATAGTCATGTAGGATAGCATGAGAACTATTGATCTAGGCTTTATTGCATGTTCCTTGTTTGGTTGTGGCTCTAAAGTGGGATCATCTGTTCGGGTGGCAATCTCACCTCTGGGTACTTATGGTTACAAATTTCATGGAGGTTAGTTGGTAACGGGACTGTGTGTTGTGAGAGGACTAGTAGGTGGTAGTGAGCTATATTATTGTTGTTTGTCTGTATTATGTGCTTACTTGATCCTTGTTTGTTTATATGTCGACATATGGTTATGGTGGGTTAAGGCGATCCTGCTTTGTGTTGTAGGCAAAGATACCTGGTGCGGGCCGGTTGTAAGCCGTAGGCACGGAGGCTCTGGAAGAGCGGTTGGGTTGAGGCGGTAGGCCAACAAACCCTGAGTATTCCAACCCGATGGCTGAGTGGACCCGATGCATGCTTGTATGTTTATCGTATGGGTATTTTGGGGGAAACTCACTAAGCTTTATGCTTACCCAATTGTTTATGGTTTCAGGTATCGTCGGTGATAATTGGAAGGAAAAGGCGGGATAGTACACACTCATCAGCAACAATGGGGATTTCGCGTTCATCATAAAAACTCTGATTTCATTAGATGTAATTGAGAATAAATGGTTTTCTTAAAATGGTTTTTTATAATTGAGGAGTTTAACTTTAAATAAAATGAAATTTTTTGGCCGTGATAAACGAGACGTTACATATTTTTTCCCTTTTACCATAATATGAAAGGTGATATTGTCAGTCCTTGATGATTTGATGATGATATTCATGTGTTAGGCCTAGCTCAAACTTAATTGATGTATTCGATTAGTAGTCTGATTTGATCATCATAAATCGGAAATCGAGAAACATATTGATGGACTGTTAGGTAGATTCACAATCAATGATTCAGTCAACCATGATATGTTGAAAGAAACAAAGAAATAATGGATTACTTATCTAAGGGCCAATTCTTAATAAGATCAGAGTTTGGCAATTATTGTGGAAGACACGCTTTGTTGATTATTTGAAGTCTATCTGACCAATAGTAGTTGATGAATTGTCCAAATGAGAGATGGTTGGAAATATGTATCTAATATCATAACTAATAGGTGTAACTTTGGGAAGAATAACAAAGTTCCTTTTGGGTTGCCCTCAAGAGAAAAAATAGCTAGAAATGGTTTTAGGAGATTGAGAAAATAGTTTATTAATTTATTACACGTTAATAAATTTATTAAAAACTAGTTAAAGTTAATTAGAATTAATTTAGGATTAATTGGAACTAATTTAAAGATACATGGGTTGAATGGTATTTGTTTAATAGTTGAGAAACAAGAACATTCTGGATAGTCCATGTGGTGGACAGTTTTGAGGAGGTTCCAGAAACCTTCTAGAATCAATCCAAGTAACATATACGGATATGATTTAAATCTAGATTAAACATCTATGTTTAATTGATTCAAATCAGGGTTATCATGTTACCACCATAACTATATAAATGGGCCTTGGATGCTCATATTTTTGGCTTTAACACACCTCCTGGGAGGCTATAAAATCTGATTTTCACCTCTCTCATATCTCACTCCTTTTGTTTCTAGGGTTCTTGACTTTTGGGTGTAAACCATTAGAGTTACTTTACTTTGAGTACTAGTCTTTACAAGGGAAACAAAAGATCAAAGGAATCTATCTTCAAGAAGACAACTCGATTTTGTCATGGGTTAGTGTTTTAATCCTTTCTCATTTAGCTTGTTAGGTTAGTTTTAAAGGTATGTTGCTATAATAGTAAAACTTAGATTCTAGGATGCATGTACACTTAGGATGATTTTTGAATGTTTTTGCCACCTTAATCTAGTGTATAGTTGCATAGAAAACCCACCATGGTTCATCTTTAGTAGAGGAGGTGTGGTGGTTTGATGGTGGGTCTGTTTGTGATGATTAGGGTAATACCGAAGAACGATTTTTTCATTAATGGTGGTGTTCATAAAAGACTATGTTAACTCTTTTGTACTATGTTTCAATCAAAACCCACCCATAAAAGATTCAAGAAGATAACTTGTTTGATGCCCATGACTACGTGCAACTGCAATGGAAGAGAGAGGGGTGAAGAAAGGGGGAGTGGGTCGAGTTGTCATCGTTGATGTTGGAGGTAGGAAGTAGGCGACGAGATATCGTCGGTGGTTTGGGACCAAGCGACTGGATTTATTGGATCGTGAGAGGAAGACATGTTGCTGCAAGAGATGGTGGTCGGTGGGAGGCTAGGGCGGAGAGACTACTCTTCTAGGGAAAGAGAACTGGGGAGGTGAAGGAGGAGGGGGTTATATATTCTTTTTTTAAATAGTTTTTAAAAATGTAAAATAAAATTAAAAGGGTAAAATAATCGTTTTATATGGATGAAAGACCAACCACGATAAAAATTGAAAGCACAATGACCTTCTTTTTGGACAAAAAAAGTTAGGGATCGAAACCCAGATTTTGGAAAACCACATAAACCATGGATGAAGTTTAGTATTGAAAAAAAAAGTATTCAAACAAAACCTCCAAAAATATAAACAAACAAAAATAAAATAAAAATTAAACTATATATTCGAGCAAAACATCAAAAGAAAATAAATTATAAAAAAGAGTAATAAATAAAACAAAAACAGTAATAAATAATAGATAAAATTACATAAATAGATATTAGACAAAACTTCAAAAATGGTCCCTATGGTTTCCGAAAATCTGAAATTTAGTCCTTAATTTACAAAAAAATCACGGATTGTCCCTGTGGTTTCAAAACTTTTAACATATGGTCCTTTTCGCTAACTCCGTTAGCTTTTGGCCGTTAAGTAAAGAGCATTTCTGTCTTTTCACTACCACAAGGACCATTTATGAAGTTTTTCCTTATTTAAAAATAATAATAATAATAATAATAATTTAATATTAAAGGTCCCCCCCCCCATACACACACTCTCTCTCTCTCTCTCTCTCTCCATGTGCAGTTGTGCACTAGATATTTTTCTTTGGGATGCCCAAAAATCTTCCTATATTACAGCAAACTCAAGCATGAAGCTTTATGTAACTTCAGACCCTACAACTGCCCATACGCTGGATCTGAATGTTCAGTCACCGGAGACATTCTTTTTCTGGTTACCCATCTCAGTGATGACCACAAAGTCGACATGCACACATGCTATACTTTTAACCACCGTTATGTCAAATCCAACCCCTCGTGAAGTTGAGAACGCTATTTGGATGCTAACAGTGAGTTCCCTTCACTTTTCCCCTGATTTCTGATTTCCGATTTTAGGGTTTTTTCCTTTTTCTTTATCGGGGTAATGTTTTATGTTTGGCAGGTGTTCCATTGTTTTGGGCAGTACTTCTGTCTTCACTTTGAGGCGTTTCAGCTAGGGATGGCACCTGTTTACATGGCGTTTCTTCGATTCATGGGGAATGAAGCAGATGCAAGGAATTACAGCTACAATTTAGAGGTCGGAGCCAACGGAAGGAAGCTGATTTGGGAAGGAACACTGAGGAGTATCAGAGATAGCCATAGGAAGGTAAGAGATAGTAATGATGGGTTGATTATACAAAGAAGAGAGAATGAGGCTGATGATTGCTATAGGTTTCAGACATTAGGGGTATAACCCCACTTGATTGGGCGCCTGGGTGGTTATCGTTCATTCATAGAGGTGTGCGGTTTGTCGATTTTGTATCACAAGTGTGGGTGGTCAGTCGGAGATGATATGGTGACCCTAGGAGGAACTGCCAACAGGTGAGCAGTACACATCAATGTCGACTACTGCCATGGTATCCTTCATTTTCCAGAATTTGGTTGTAAACTGTGAATCTGAAATTAATCTTTCTTATGTTATCGATCGGAATTACTATCTCGTTATCATCAATCTGAAATTCATTTTGAGAAAAAATTTATTTTGAGAAAAAAATTTGGAACGACATGATACTTTGATACCCTGTGTTTGATCTGAAGTTCTTGTTTGTGTTTAATGGGTTGAATCGAAGAGACCATGTAGTATATTGAATCGATGATGTTTTGAAATATGGTAATGAATTTGCAGGTCAAGGAATAATAAGTTGACTTTGTAAGAGAGAGAGAGAGAGAGAGAGAGAGAGAGGAGAGAGAGAGAGAGAGAGGACCATTATATATTAAAATAATTATTTTTAGTTTTCTTAACGGTAGAAAGCTGACGGAGTTAAGCGGAAGGACTACACATTAAAAGTTTTGAAACCACAGGGACGATCCATGGGGTTTTTGTAAATTAGGGACCAAACTTTAGATTTTGCGAAACCACATGGACCATTTTTGATGTTTTGTCTAGATATTATAACACAAACAAATTACATAAATGGTCCTTATGATGGTAATATATCATTTAACATAGAAGTTAACTAATTAGTGAACATTCATGTCCATTTTAAACATTAATTAGTGAAATGACTTCAATATCTAAAATTCCTAAAAAAACATTAATCAGTATATTTTTGCTAATTAGGACCAATGATGTAATTTTGTCTCCTTTTTATATGTAGCAAAGAGCAAAACACAACATAAACACAACACATAACCAATCGAAATTTAACCAAAAAATTAACGACCAAAGGCAAACAATCCAAATCTAAAGTGACCATTCGTATAATTTATTATACAAAAGATACAAAAGTGGTAAATAACATTTTTTTTAGAGGGAACTAGAGAAAACATAAAATATCTTGTATCCTAAAATTACAGAAAGACGACAAGAAAGTGTATGTCACGCACCGCTAGAGAGAGTAATGAAAAAGAGAGGTGAAAGAAAAGATTACGAAGATGAAAGTAAGTATGAGTGCAAGGCCATGATGTGACGCGTGTCCGTTAGCCAGCTGTATTCCAAAATTATACCAAATGCAACCGCTTGGCTCATCTCACAGTCGGTCACCCACTAGCATCACCCCCTTTCCTTCACACCGGTTCGACCGGTCAGTCCTAACCCCTTTTATACTCCTCAGTCCCATATAAAACCACCATCTCCCCACCTCCTCACCCCACTTTCTCTCTCTACAATTCTCTCCGATTTCAAATTCAAAGATCATAACTTTTCCATGAATTCTCACTGAAAATCAACAGATTTTGCATTTATTAAATTGGTTGTTATGGCGAACAATTCGAAGAAAGATATGGACCGAATCAAAGGTCCATGGAGCCCCGATGAAGATGAGTTGCTTCAGCAACTTGTCGAGAAGCATGGCCCGAGAAATTGGTCGCTTATCAGCAAATCTATTCCTGGTAGATCAGGGAAATCTTGTCGGCTGCGGTGGTGTAACCAGCTGTCTCCGCAGGTGGAACACCGTGCTTTTACTCCGGAGGAGGATGAGACGATCCTTCGGGCACATGCCCGGTTTGGTAACAAATGGGCTACGATTGCCCGGCTTTTATCCGGTCGAACCGATAACGCCATTAAAAACCACTGGAACTCGACTTTGAAACGGAAATGTTCGTCTATGACGAACGAAGAGTTTAATGACTTCGCGATTCAACAACCATCGTTGAAACGCTCTGTCAGTGCCGGCTCGGCGGTTGCCGTTTCGGGTCTTTTCTTCAACCCGGGTAGCCCAACGGGATCCGATATCAGCGATTCAAGTCCGCCGGCGATGTCGTTCCGCCCTGTTTCTCGGCCCTGCCCCATCGTTCCACCGCAGATCGAAATTCCAACATCGTCGTCCCCGCGTTCACCACCTCTACCGCCAGCGAACGACCCTCTAACGTCGTTGAGTCTTTCACTTCCCGGGGTCGAAACGAGCGATACGCCAACGGCGATCCCGATGCAGCTAATGCCGCCGTCTCCGACGGTTATAGCCCCGCCTCCATCCCCTGTTCCTATAACCGCGACGCCGTTGCAGCAGGTTCCCGGAAATCGTAATCAAGAAATAAACCTGAACAATGAAGCTGAGTTTATGTCGGCGATTCCATCTGCCATATCTTTGGCGATGCAGCAGCTTCAGGTGTCCCGTCCTCCGGCACCGGAGAAGTCCTCTGTGCCGTTGAGTGATGAGTTTTTGTCAGTGATGCAGGAAATGATAAGGAAAGAGGTGAGGAAGTACATGAGAGGTCTTGAGCAACCGGGAGGCGGAATGTTCAATGGCTTTAGGAGTGGAACTGTGGTGAACAGGACTGGTTAGGTTAGGGTAGCCGGAAACCATGGAAGGTGGAGGGATGAAAAAGGAAGAAACTTTCCTCCATTCTGTTA